AACGAACATGGCCTTCTGGCCCAGCAAGTCCTGTTGGACAGTTTTCACAACCCTAAACCCTAAACTCCTAAACCATAAACCCCTAGACCCTAAACCCTAAACCCCTAAACCCTACATCCCTAAACTAAACTCTAAATCCGAAACTGCTCATCCGGGCATTTACTTTACCCCGCAGCTGGAACTCTCAACCACCCCTTAACCTCAACGATTACACTTTAAATCCCCGAACCCTAAACGCATCTAAACCCCTAAACCCTAAGCCCTATGTAAGTTGGAGCCGAAAGGCTACACGCCACACCCAGAGCCTGCGATTCAAGCCTTTGATAGCCGGAGGCCGCCGCAGCACCGCTACAGCCACTAAACGGCCGGGGGCAAGTTTGAAGAACCTGTCGTTCCGGATTTGATTTGCGGGAGCTGTCTAAGCTCTTAAACCCTAAACCCTAAACCCTTTTAAGTTTAGGGTGTAGGGTTTAGGGTTTAAGTTTAGGGTTTAGGGCTTAGGGTTCGGGGTTTGGTGCCTCCCAGGTTTAGCTTCAAGTTTGGATTCAGGAGTGCTTTGGGTTTCGGGTCACGGGTGCAGGGCTCTTGGCTTCAGAACCCCGAACCATACGTACACGTAGTCTCCATGGGTAGTTCTCTAAATTAGGGTCCCTTTTTGAACGGGTGCCGTACAAGTAAAAGGACCCTAGCTTAGAGAACTACCCCCATTTTCGTCGTTCCCTTTTAGGGCTTTAACTTGTTGTTGGGGGTTTTGGGTTAGGGAGTTTGGGGCCTGTTTAGGGTTATGGGTTTAGGCTTTAGCGTTTTAAGGTTTAGTATCACCCACAGTATAGTCTCCATGGGATAAAGCAACTTAATGAGGATGCAAGAAGGTTTCCGCCGAAGAGGAACTATAATGGAGACCACGATATAGACCGCTTCTTGAGCTAGGCCCTAGGCGCTTGTTTGCGGGGGTTTAGGGTTTAGGGGTTTAGGGGTTTAGGGGTTAAGGGTTTAAGGGAACCCTAAACCCTTAACCCTAAACCTTAAGGGTTTAGGGTTGTTTGGTGACTACTACAGGGTGCATCTGCTTTTTGGGGTTCTTTGTTGGGGTCGTTGCTTTGCGTTCGGTTCCTTTGCAGGTAAAATATAGGAGCCTAAATGATTACCAATACTATTTTGGAGATTCCGGATTGTGATTATAGTCATAATATAGTATACCCCCAAAAACCCTAGTCCAATTATCAAGGGCCCCTATACCCAGAGACTCCAAAACCCTTTAATTAAGGAATAGACCTTAAATCATATTAGGGTTCCTATTTTGGTTTAAGGTATATTCCTGAACTAAGGGGTTTTGGAGTCTCTGGCTATCTTTGCGACCAGTCTCGTAGGCCTCTCCCTCTTCCGAAGGATCTTCGTCCATGGCTCCACTCACCCCCTTGCGGAACCCTACCAATGTACAAGCAGCTTAGGGGTTCAGGGTTTAGGGTTCAGGGTTTAGGGTTTAGGTTTCAGGGTTTAGGGTTCAGGGTTCAGGGTTTAGGGTTTAGGTTTCAGGGTTTAGAGTTTTGTGTTTGGGGACCCTACTAATAATGTAGAGAACTACTGTGTATGAAATATAAATCCTTAGCATTACCCCATAATAAGGAATAGATACCAGAATTCCCATCGTCTAGGGTCCTTGAGGTCATGCTAAGGATTAATATCATCAACCGTAACAACGTACAAGCAGCTTTTTGAGAGCAAACCTCCAGAACCCTCATGGGCAATCCTGTTGAACTTTAAGCACCTACTCTAATGGAACTGTAAGACCAACCACCTTGGCCCCCCTAAGCCCTTACAAGCCCCGAACCCTAAACGCCCTAGCCCCAAACCCCAAAGCGCCTGAATGCAAAACAAAAAAGCTAACCCTACATGAACCCTAAACCCCAAACCCCAAACCACTAAATGCAAGCAAAAAAAGCCAACCCTACATGAACCCTAAACCCTAAACTCACCCCCCCCACTCCCTGGGAAGGCAAGTGAAGCTAAACCTACATGGACCCTAAACCCCAAGCCACCCACCCCGTGGAAGGCAAGTGAAGCTAACCCTACATGAACCCTAAACCCTAAACATGCAAAACAAAAAAAGCTAACCCTACATGAACCCTAAACCCCAAACTCACCCCCACCGCCCTGGAAGGCAAGTGAAGCTAACCCTACATGAACCCTAAACCCTAAACACCCACCCCCTACCGCAAACAAAGGAAGGTAACCCCATAAAACGAACCCTAAACCCTAAACCACACCCCCTGGGAAGGCAAGAGAAGCTAACCCTACATGAACCCCAAACCCTAAACCCTAAACCCCAAACCACCCACCCCCTGGGAAGGCAAGATTCCGTGGTTCCCGCCCGCCTTGCTTGGGGCACAGACCTGGCTGTGACTGTTTTTTCGACTCCGATTCCGGCGCCGCAATAATAATATTCAGAAGAATAAGAATTAAAAAATAGTAATCATAATAGTAAGAAGAAGAATAGGAAGACAAGTAGTAATCATAGCAACGACGAGAAGACACAATTGCAACAATAGCCAGTGTTCCTATCATCTAGAGGCCTGAAGAACCACCAGTTCTTGAAGCTTTGTATTGCTCATTCTTAGTTATTGCATAATATACCCCGAGAGTGATTCTTACGTCCAAGATCCGACTGTCCTGGGTCCATGTCGAGGACGTAGCGGCCCTAGTGCTAAAGCCCTAAAGCCCTAAACCCCCAAACCCTGAATCCCTAACCAGTCTGAGGGACAGCGCTTCCCTTTTTTGAGTTGTTCCGGCTTAGTTGTGAATTACACCCGTGCCGTCCCAAAAGCCGGGAACCCAGTAAACATGACGCTTGCTGGGTCCTTTGAACCATAAACCCTAAGACACAGCCCTTAGCCTTCAACCCTAAACCTAAATGGGTGGTTCTCTAAATTAGGATCCCTTGTAGGGTCTTTCTTATAAAGGTGCCGTACTGTCTTGGAGACCTACAAAGGACTCCAATTTACCCAAATCTCTCTAAACCAGTGAGCCATGGCACTCACGAGGGAGCTCGTGCAGTACGGTGTATGATAGAAATCCTTAGCATTACCCAATAGTTTTTGGGGGCCCTAATGTAGAGAACTACGGTGGATGATCTAAATCCTCTGCATTACCCATAATAAGGAATATATACCATAATTCCCATAGTCTAGGGTCCTTAAGGTAATTGCAGGATTTATATCATCAAGAGTATGGGGTTCGGCAGTGCGTGAAGACTCCCGACTGGGATGAGAATGAGATCAGCGCAAGGTGAATGCTGGCTGCAGAAAGATAGCCCAATGGCTTTGACAGCGATGCCGCCCCAAGTGGGGTGTTGGATGTGTGCTTTGTGCACAAATGGTTCTTCGTCTACAGATGGACAAAGGGTCTGCCAGAATGAGACGCAACTACAGCACAAAATGGAGCCGGTTTCGCGATTGACGGCATTGCCAGCATGCAGACATCGGCTTTAAGGAAACACAGCCAGAGCGACCAGCACATGGCCGCTTGGAGGCTGTTTCAACTTCCTGCCCAGGCTAAAGTCTTGCCTACCCGTAGCCGTGCTTCAGACATACATCTGCTCAGGGGAGCTGGGCCGCAGCCCGCCGACTGGTTGTCGGTATGGGCTCAGACAGTCGCTTGGCTGCCGCTGAGCACTCGCAGAAATCCCGAATTGCAAAAAGCCAGGCGAAGCGGCCTGCAAGGACTTTGCTGCTGATGTTGGGGCATGGTATAATAGTTATCAGCCGGAAGTTGACATATGCCTTTGCAGATTGCCAACTAAACCTAAACCCTAAACCCTAAACCCTAAAGCCTAAACCTCTAAAGGTGCGACCGTGCTTTCAACGAAGCTTTCTTCGAAGCTCAGGGTTTGAAGTGAGCCATTCCGCGTGGTTGGGATGTTCAACTCTGCCGAGCCGTGCTCCTGCGCAGATTTCAGGATCTTGCTGGAGGAGGTGGAACGAGATGCTGATTGCCTAAACCCTAAAGCCCTAAATCCTACAGCATTTAGGATTTAAGCCCTACAGGATTTAGGAATTTACTTTACAGAATTCAGGGTTTAGCCTCTCGGGGTTTCTCGCGCCTCTAACCTTTATCCCCACACAGCCCTCCAGGGACCCCCCCCGATCTTCAGCTAAACCCTATAAACCCTGAACCCCAAACCCAAGACACCCTATCCTGCCTTTTAACTTCAAGAGCACTCCCAAAGGGCCTAGGTACTGCTAGGGGGGGATGCTCCCCCAAATCATCCTAATGCAGAAACCCTACATTCTACTACATAAGGCTGTAAGAAACCCGACATTCTGCGACAAAAAGAAACCCTACATGCTACAAGTAAGACTTGAAGACTAGAAGAAAGAAGCCCTACATTCTACTATACAAGACGGAAAGACTATATAGGCACTTTGGACTTTGGACCCCTTTGGGAATTAGTTCGAATCACAACCCTAAACCCCAAACCCCCAAACCCCTGAACCCTAAACCCTAAACCCCAAACCCCTAAACCCTAAACCCTAACGCCCTAAAGCCCTAAAGCCCTGCCTAAACCCTAAACCCCAAAGCCCAAACCCCTAAACCCAGTAAAGCCCCAAAGCCCCCGACTAC